TAAGTACAATTTATTTCAAATCATCAGAGTGTCCTATAAGAAAACGCTTGAGAGAGTGTATGTCGCCCCATCGAGCCTTGCCCTTGCCCTTGGGCTCAGATGTACCTAAACTAAATCCACAAACTATAAGCTAATTGTTAGTGAGTTCCCAGAACATACCATACATATAATCCACATAAAACATATCATAATAGCCATAAAAGCTACACATATCACATAAGCCATGCATACAACGTATAGGGACATCGTGGGCTCGTCCCCAGGGTCTTAATCCAGGATGCCATGGGTTCCCCACTTGGTCTTATACCTAAATTCCATGGGCTCTCCCATGGTCTTTAACAGGAAAGCCATAAGCTCTCCACATGGTCTTACATCCGGTTGCCATCGGCTCTCTTATGGTCTTTAGTAGAAAATCCATGGGCTTTCCACATGGTCTTACATCCATGTGTCATAGGCTCTCCCATGGTCTTCCATACAAACATAACACATATACAACTAGCATACTTCCTAGCACATAATCAACTATCATGCCTCAAACATAACTTCAGCTAGTGTACCACATATCATAAAATGGGTCGGCCTTGGTGCCTTAGACCCATTGGTATGGTGAGAAGACTTACCTCTCACGAATGTTGTGTTGATAAGATAAGATGCAATAAGTCCCAACACACAACTCCAACTCAACTTCCTATAAGCATCATAAGGTTAAGTTGACATAATCCCATAATTACCCTCAAAGTCAACTCTGGTCAAAGTCAAGGTCAACAGTCCATGCTGACCCCAACTTGTCGAGTGCATCTAGCGACTTGTCGAGTTCCTCCGAAGTTCAGAAAACCTGAACAAACCCTAGCTAACTCGCCGAGTTGTTTCATCAACTCGACGAGTTCACTTACTATCTAGTAGACGGGGAATCCCAATCCGACTCATCGAGTCGCTAGCGCAACTCGTCGAGTCCCCCTCCCTGTTTGCTTATTATGATGATTTGTCGAATGCAGGGACTCTAGGGATTATATTTGAAACCCTAAGGCCTCCAGAGGGATAAAGTCTCCAACTTTAACCTCTATAACCACTCCGAATGCTCTAAGGTTCTTATCCATGGTTGGAAAGCTCAAAAGTCTTTCCATGCATTCCCAAAAGTAATATGGAATCCCTCCTTTCTAGAGGAGTTTCTAGTCCTCAAAGCGTTCCAAATACGAAGGCTTTATGGACATGCATGTCCAATGCATGTCCTTAAGTCAAAATGGCCAAAAAGGGGAAATATGCTCTAAAAACCCTTGCTTGATCAAAAGTTAGATCTAGCCCACCTTGGGACTATTTTTCCCTGGAGATCCATAAAGCTGCAAACTTTATGAACCCCATGCATGCAATCACTAAGAATGATAGGAAATGAAGAGTAAACTTAAGATCTAGCCATATTCTAAGGTAAAAATCGAATCTTAAAGGCTTACCATAGTCCACAAGATGGTCAAGCTCAAAAGCGAGGGCTTGGTTTGCTGGATCTTCTTCTTCTTCTTCTTCTTCTTCTTCTTCTTCTTCTTCTCACTATCTCCTTCTTTTCAAGCTCTACAAGTCACTCTAACTCACAAAATGAAAGATAATGGGGATTTGGGTTTAGCACAAACGTTCTTAGGGTTTGGAGGCTGATGGAAGGTCAGCCATAAGGTTTTTAAGGAGATTATATAGGATGCAAACCCTAAAATTAGGGTTTTTTCCTTTAAAGCACCTACACATCGAGTTGGCCTTCCAACTCGTCGAGTAGGGCCTAGATCCCACGTCCTCGAAATGTTCTCTACTCGACGAGTCGGGGCTCCTAACTCGTCAAGTCCCAACATCAAAACCCTAAACTTAGAAAATTAAATAATACCTGGAACAGGTGTTGCAACATGTTATATATTTGGTCCTAAACTTTCAGCATTTTGGCAATTTTAGTTGACATGACACATGAACCGGCTACAATCCGTTCGGATGGCTTAATAGACAGGTTGCTATGGACTTTAATCTCTTAAAAAACAAGAAATTAAGTTAAGGAACTGAATCGACCATTATAAAGCTATGGTGACATTTACCTTATCATTTTTCATATTAGTATATATGAACAAGACAAAATTAACCGATCACAAAATAGTTGTGTTTGCAGTTGAACCTATAACATGTTTTTGTTCATCTAAGAGTAATGAAGGCTTCTCAATATATGTTATCAAAATATTTGTTCGTAGTAATTTATATTTAAATTTCTAAAAGAATTCAAATTACTTTGCCCATATCTAACGAAAGACAAAACTTGCTTTACAAATTGCTATACATTAAAAAAATTACCTAGTGAAAAATAAAAATAAAAATTGTTTGAATAGTGTGTGTGCAAACATTTTGCTTATAAGCAACCAATAAACAAAACATGTTTAAATCGTTAAACTTTTATGTAGGGTTAGGAATTGGTTAGATTTATAGGTGCTTCGGTTAGTTGGTTTTAAATTTTTTGGTCAAAGTCAAAAACCAAATCAAATTGCATTCAAATCCCTCTAGAACAAACCAGAAACCGAATTCTAATTCAGTTCATTTCAGTTTAAAAGCCAACAAAACCAAATATTTTATTTTAAAAATTCGGTGTTGCCATTTTTCAAACCTAAGTTACAAAGGTTGAGAATAAAAAATTAAAGTTTCAACCATAAACATATAAACTTTATATGGTTGGGAGGTTAAATTAAAAATGAAAAGTAAAGTGTTCATATAATTCGTGAGGGTTATGAGTCGTGATTACTAAATACTGAAAACTCTAAATTGGTAAAAGGATTAAAATGTTTTTTTTTTTTTTTTTTTTTTTTTTTTTTTTTTTTTTTTTTACTTTATATTGAGTATTTAATATACAAAATATAAAATAAATTTTTTAATCAATTAATTAATACAATTCGAATTTAGCTCCGATTTAATCTAAAGTTTATGAGACCAAAACGCAAAACCAAAACAAAATCAAAATCCGGTTTGGTCTCGGTCCACACCTAAAACCAAATTTAAATATGGTTTGGTCTGGAGTCGATTTCGATTCGATTTTGTTTTCGGATTTTTCGGTTCCAGAACAAATAATCTATACCCTACTTGTATGTTGTATAAATTTACTATTTTTCTAATCCAACTTTTCTAAACATAGAAAAAAATATATATATAAAAACCCTTGTCTCTTAAATCGCTACATAGATTATGTACTAATATCATAGTCTATGTATTAAATCGCCCCTTAAGTTTAACCAATGTTATTATTAGGTTGTGCTGTATGTAAATATTACAAATTCACATTATGTCAAAAAGAATTTAATCATTTATATCTTTTGTTGTATTGTTGTCCTAACGTACGTATCTTGTTTATTTTTAAACTAGGTTTAACATCTATATATTACATGAATTAATGAAAAAAATTTAATATAAATGTATAAATATTTAAAAACTTTAGATTTATAAGAAAATAAGAAAAAATAATTAATTATTAAAATTGATTTTTTTTATTTTTTAAATTTAAATAAATAAACAAAATAAACTAATGATAATAATAATATACACAATTTTATGATATAGATTAACAATCGAAGATAAGGTTGAATTCAAAATCAACTGAGTTTTGGAAAAAAAAAACATTCTAAACCAACAACAAATCAGTTTAAAGTAATAATAATAATAATAATGATAATAATAATAACTTTTTTATGATATATAAAATAAACCAATAACGTAGCAGTCGATATGTCCGAGTGGTTAAGGAGATAGACTTGAAATCTATTGGGCTTCGCCCGCGCAGGTTCGAACCCTGCTGTCGACGTTTTCAAATTTTTGCTGTTCGAAAAAAAATATGATTATGTGATTTATAAACTATATACAAACGAACCTAACACATGGATTCATACAATTAACAATTCCCACCCCACCGCTGGGTCAACGTTTGTAAAAACAAAAAAATTATTATAATATTTTGTAATTTGGTTATGGTTTAACCTAATACAAAAAATGGATACTGTTGGTATTCCTATTAATTACTTTTTAACTTTTATCACACTGTATTTAACCATTTTCCAGTCTTCATCTTCCCTATCAGAAGAATCCTTCTTCATCCGAGCTATCATAAAACAAAACGACATGATCTTCACTTTCATCTAACCCACCACCTTTAAGTAAAACTCACATTTGGTCCCCCATCATCAAAATGCTCCTTCAAGAAACTGCGCATTTGCAACCATCTCGGAGTTAGCTTATACGTACTCATCCATCTCCTCCAAAACCATGCCATTCAAACAAAAAGCAAATTCCAAAGCCATACTACTTCCTTGAATAGGATATTGATGTCGACCTTTATTTTTCCACCATTCCAACATATTAAAGTTCACAAATTCGTCAGAAATCATAACACTTTGGAAATCCGTCTTTGTATATAAATCTAGTTCATTAGAAATGTTAGTTTTCGCACTCTTTCGTGAAACCGATTCCATTATTATTATTATTGTCTGAGTTATCACAAAACCAAACAAGAACAACACTTCTATATGAGCCAACTTCATCGGAGCTATCAATCACTTCAATATGAGCCATATTCATATGAGCTATCAGAAAACGAAATACAATCTTCACTTCTATTATGTACATCATGTTCAACTAAATTCGCTCCTTGTCCCTCTTGTTCAAAATGATTCTTTAAGAAACTTCGCATTTGCAACCATCGTGGACAGTTAGTATATCACGGATCATTTCTGCCAAAATAGGATATTGATGCCAACCTTTCTCTTTCCACCACTCAAAATTATGATAGTTCTTAAATTCATCAGATCCCATATCAACCTTCTTTAAATATACCGCTAATTCATTGGAAACACTAGTTTTCGCTTTCTTTCGTGAAACAACGGTTTCCATTATTGTGTTTCTAGAAGGGGAAAATACCGCCAATAAGCATAAAATGGGGGTAAATTCAAAAATATAGACATGAAAAATATAAATTCCGGATATAGACATGCGTTCCACGGATGACCGACCGCGGACCCATGAATCCTCTGCGGAGAGGGGTAGTTTTGTAATTTCACCCTCATGTTGTTGACAAATTCAATCCTCCTCTTTAGTCCCCCACAGGTTCCCGATTTCGCTTTGACAAAAACGATCCTCCGCGTCGACTGTGAGCTATCGAGGATTCCGACGACGACTCAAATCCGGCGATAACGACATCAAACGACGGCGATTCAAGTTAAATTCCGGCACTGATGGAGGGCAATTTCCTCGATGTTTTAGCGATGGATTTGGCTCCCGGGTATTTCTCACATTACCCTCTTTTGATTAATGTCGTATGTGATTCAATTGTTACGAAACCCCAATTGATTACATAGAAATATATATACAAATTTAGATTTGTGATGTAAAGATTCACAGGTTCGATTTTGGGGAAGATTCATTCCGCGGAGATATACGTCAGTTCACAGAGGAGTTTCCGCGGAGTGATGTATTCCCTCCGCGGAATGATCTAAATCAACAAAATTGGGTCTCCGCAGAGGCTAGTGGTCACTCCGTAGAGGGTGTTCCACGGAATGACCTTTAGACTCCGCGAAATGACTTGAAAATGCTTTTTCAAAAAAAAAAAAAAATCTGCCCTTTTACATTCCTTTATATATATATATATATATATATATATATATATATATATATATATATATATATATATATATATATATATATATATATATATATATATATATATATATATGAGGTATTTAGTTATATTTAAAAAGTATGTTGCTATTTATTTTCAATTACTAACGTTTTATATAAAATTAAATGTTATGTTTTGTAGCACGATGATCTCAATCAAAAAACGGATTTAACTTTAAAAGGCGTGGTGGTCTCTTACTTGTGCATTTTATGATGTTGCACGAAGTAATGTCTCAACAAGTATTTGAAATGGAGAGATTTCTTTTTTATATACAGGAGATGCAGTTGGATTTTGGTGAAACTGAATATATTCTCATTTGTGGTTTAAAAGTTTGTCCTTATGTGGATTTACTCTATGATGAAAAAGGCCGGTCAAATTCAAATCTTCGTGCTCGGTTGTTCCCAGACATTTCTGATGCACGTTTGCAGCTGAAAGATTTAGAAGAGTACATTATGTCTCTGAATTATTTCACTTCAGGATGAAGATGTTGTAATGCTTATCCAACTTGTTTTTATGTTGAAAGGTCTCCACGGACGAGACATTAAAACGAACATTCTCGCGGCAGTATACAAGCTTGTTGATAATATAGATGATTGGAACATGTATTATATTTAAAGATTGTGTTTATATACAATAATAGTAATTATAAAAAATAAATTGAAAATTGCAGGTTTGCATGAGGTACATATTTCTAGACCTATACTTCACCGTTGATGCGTGGAATGTTTAAGAACATAGAGGAATTTAGACTATTCAAGGAGGCCAATCCCGAATCCAAGAAAGTACACAAGTGTACTGTTCCTGGTTTTATGCTTCCGTTTAAGGTTAGCTTCTAATGCATTTAAATAGTTATCATAGTTCTGCTTATGCTTACATTTTTTTACATAGATATGGATTTTGGAGACGTTCCCCGAGGCAACCTAGTTTTATATACATACGCCTACATAATTGCCACGGATGAGGTCGTGGAGAAGTAAAACACCGTTAACTTGGGTTCAATGTCGTCGAATAATCAACGTGTCTTTGGTATGCTTTTAATATTAAGGATTATATACATTTACAAATTCCAATGTTTTTCATTTTAAAGTAACAATCTGATTTTTGCAGCCTAACAACCAACCTATTTCTATCGTGGCAAACCCGACGGAGCTGATGTTGCTATTTTATGTTCGCTACATGAACTTGACTCTTAACCATGAAGAGTCTCCCCCACAACAGCATACTCTGGTCTGAAATAGTCCAGAGTCCTCCCCCCCCCCCCCCCCGGCAAGATAGTCCGATCCGAAATAGTCCGCCTGTTGTTGCTTCGCCTCCTCGAAGACAGAAGTACAAGTCGGAAACATCTTCGACTAAATCTGGCACAAATGTTTCTTCCTCACAACATGTTGATATAGAAAGAACTTATATGCCAACCAACACATCAACAAGGTTGGTAAAGAAGAAGAAAAAGACGAGAACAAAGGCATTAGTAAAGCATCTACTAGGCGTTGTGGCTGACTTATCTTCTAAAGTAGATCGTGTATAAAACAAAAAAGATGAGCCAGCCACAGGGTTTGGAGATGATGATGATTAGGAGGAGGAGGAGATGATAAATGAAGAGGAGGAAGAAACATATTACCATGGTACACAGTTGAACTATGATGATTTAGGTAGTCATGGTTTGGAGGGGGAAGTTGGGCGTACACCTACGCATGTTGATCCGTCACTGGACGTGGCTGAACATCACACAGTAACAATGACTCCTATTGGTAGGCCACAACGAAAGAGGGGTGCTCCTTGGTATCAGCGGACTCCGTTCACATTGGTACAAAACTCGATCATATTTTAAATTTGGTATATTTATAAAATATAACATTATTGATAATTATTTAACATGTTAATTTTTTTAGATGTAATCCACACCAAAAGTGAAGAGAATCACCAAAACAAGGAAAAAAAAGAAGTGGAGAGTCCTGAAAAAGCAAATGAAGAGACTGTGAATGAAGAGAGTAACGATGTTTCAAATCAGCTCTTGTTAGACAGTGTTTATGCTGCTAGTGTGTTGAGTTTTTAGAAAGAATGGAGTATAATCTCTTCCAACCTCAACACTAAACATAGGCTGCATATACTCCCACTAGATTTGGAGTTTTGGTTGAGGTTACTTGCAGTTACTGACTCTGGGTGGTTACTTTCCTTGATAACATTCCTTAAATTTAAAATTTAAATACCTTTTTAGACAATAATTTATATAAATGATTGTAACAGTTTTATCTTAAAATGTACAACATATTGCGATATGGATTGCCCTGCTCATGGAAAGACGGCCAACGAACGCAAGATGGACGATATATCCTCAAGAAATCAATTTGCAACTAAGAAAATCATGTTTTTTAGCCATGTAGCAAGTGGTGTTGCAGGTCGTCCTAAATGGAAGGATGTGGATATGGTTAGTTAAGTTCAATAATGATTTATTTATATATTAAATATTACTTAATTTACGCCTATTTAATTTATTATTGTTTGCAGGTTCTATTCCCCATAAATGTTGTTGCTACCCATTGATTTATGGTAGTGCTACATTTAGATACCTGGAAAGTAGATATTTATGATTCAGCACGATCCATGAATTTCTTCTCAAAGTACCTTACTGGTGGAGAATTCAAAAGTTTTGGAGATAGTATTATCTCAGAGTTAGATGCTATTGAGTACTGGAACGATTTCCCTGTTCGACACAAAGACAAAGCAACTATGGAGTTTATTGATATTGTAGACACGCCACAACGAGAATATACTCTTGACAGAAGGGATTATGGAATATTCGTATGCATGTTTATGGAAATGATTGTTTCGGAGGTACCGGTGAAGATTGATAAGCCACGTAGAGATGCGGGATTTCTCTATAGAAATAGGATGACAAATATTATTTGAGATACTATATAACTTGATTTTCAGAAATTGTATATATATATATTATATATATATATATATATATATATATATAACTTGATTTTCAGAAATTTGTATATATATATATATATATATATATATATATATATATATAAATATATATATATATATATATATATATATATATTATATATATATATATATATATATATATGAAATACTTGTTTTTAGTAATTTCGTTTAATACAAATATGTGTTTTTATGTTATACATTCAAACAAAATAAACGTTACAAATAACATAAAAACATTACAAATATCATAAACATAAATATTACGACTAACAAACATTACAAATATCATAAACATAAACATAAAAACATTACAAATATTATAATCATAAACATTACGACTAACAAACATTTCATAAAACATTATAAATATGGAAACAGTCGTCTACATGAAAAAATGTTTAGTTTTAACCAGATTCCAAACGTCCGTATACTCGAAATCAGTTCCATCAAACTCGCATATGTAATATTCGTTCACGTGTTCAAGAAGTTCTTCAACGTCTGCATCAGAGCTTCGCTTTTTCTCATAATTGTAGCATCGATAGAACCATGTTACTTTAGTCTTTAAATCCATCCATTTACTAACAATATCGGGTTTTAGCCATTGTTGTCCTTGTCCCACCTGATAGTTGAACAAAGTTATTAGGCAGGACCATTCTTCACCAAAAAGGAAATTAAGGGGAGCCATTACTGGTAGACCCTTGTAAACAGTAATCCAACATTGTGTTAGGACCAACACCTCTGATGTCTTCCATGAAGATGAACCATTTGTTGGAGCTGACCCATTGGATGGATTTGCTGCATTCGAAGAAGTTGGTACATTGGACGCCATTTTGTGAAATGATCCCTATTGTAAATTAAAGATGTGAATTTCATATAAATAGAAGGTTTAATATATAAAAAAAGATAGGTTATGCGGACAATCAAGTCAGTTATGCAGATTGACAAGTCAGTTATGCGGACTATCAAGTCAGTTATGTGGACTGTCAAGTCAGTTATGCGTAGTGACAAATCAGTTTTGCGGACTGTCAAGTTAGTTATGCGGACTGACAAGTCAGTATCGCGGACTGTCAAGTCAGTTATGCGGACTGACAAGTCAGCATCGCGGATCGTCAAGTCAGTTATGCGGACTGTGAAGTCAGTTATGCGTAGTGACAAGTCAGTTATGCGGTCTGTCAAGTCAGTTATGCATAGTGACAAGTCAGTTATGCGTAGTGATAAGTCAGTTATGCGGATTGTCAAGTCAGTTATACGGACTATCAAGTTAGTATCGCAGACTGTCAAGTCATCACATATCAGGCCAATCCATCCAATCATCTAAAAGTCATACTAGCATGCAATTCTAAAATCTCAAACAATCAGGCATATAAAGACATTTCTGTTAGATCCTTATCCCTAACCTAGCATGCAATTCACAAATTCACAAATCAAGCATATCATAAAACATGTATGGGTATTTTGGGAAAACTTACTTGAGCTGGGTTGATTTCATGCACCATACCCTTTTATTTTGTTAGAAAAATCTTTTTATAAAACATTCCTTTTTATAAAAACCAACCAAATCCCCAATTTAAGTTCAGACACACCCGAAAGTGTGTATGAATGCCTCAAACCAAGATTTTGATACCAACTTGAAACGACCCAAAAATCAAGATAAAAATCTTTAATTTTTAAATTAATAAAACCATTTTTCAAAACATGTCCATGAACCATAATAGAATAAAAGTGTAAACAAAACATCCAAATACATTAGAGTCAAATAAAATGCGGAACAACGTGGTGTGTGCGATGCGATCACCCCGAGCTCTTCCCCTTGGATCCAGACGTACCTGAAACATAAATCGAAAATTGTAAGCACGAATCTTAGTGAGTTCCCTAAAATAACACATACCATACATAGTAAACATATAATGGGCTCCGCCCGTCATCAGGTCGCGCCCAGCATCGGGACCTGCTCGACACATGGCCCGCTCGGAATAGATATGTCATTAAATAATGAGCCTTACCTGGCATACATACAAACACATAAACACATGCAAGAATCACAAAGATAAATAGCATACAAGATAATCATCAGGCCCCGTGTGACTTCGGGCCTCGCCCGATACATAACATATATCATACATGTACAGTCACACACACAACTAGCATCCTAAACATAATATACCATGGGCCAAAATTCATGTCTTTGACTCGCCAAAAACAATAAGGAAACTTACCTCACATTGTTGAATCTCTCCGATAAAATCTCGGTGTACTGATCCAGAAAATCCCTATGCTAACACCATCAAATAATATCCAATCAATAACTGGGTTACAACCCAAAGATCAAATCCTAGTCCAATTGTCCAAGGTTCAGGGTAAAAGACCATTTTACCCTTTTCTTACATGTCCCAAAACCAAGGCCCAACCCATTTGCTCAAAAAGTAGAAATTACTAAATGGCATCCCAAAGCCTAATATGGCCCAACCTCTTAAATGGGCCTAAAACACATCATGGCCTAAATTCAAGATATCTCATAGCTTAGAAATGACCCAAATTCAGAAGTCTAATGGCCCCATCAAGGCTAAAACCCTAAAAATTCAAAATATGGCCTAAACCCAAGAAAGTCAACCGAAGTCAACGATGGTTGAGTACGCCCGATGTACTCAGGCATACACCCATCGTTCTACAAGGATTCCTAGTACGCGTTGCGTATGATCTAGGTACGCCCATCATACTACCAAGCGAGCCATGATCGGGAACCGGGCAGCATACGTTCAACGTACAAATACGTACACTCAATGTATGTGCCCATTAAGCACGTTTCCGCTAAGTGGTTAATACTTGCAACCAAAAGCCAAAAATCTAGATCCAAGTCTTATCAAACATCTTAAACCATAAATTCATGAACTTGGAGCCTTTTTATGGCTCAAAAGGACACAAACCTCACTTTTAGCATTCTACTTTAACCATAATGACCTAAACTCATGCATGGTTGATCCACAACCATCAAGATGATAACTTCATGGACTTAGGACCTCAGAAATATCAAGAGAAGCAACTCCTAACTTCTGGAGTGAAAGGAAGCCAGTAGATCTCATCATATGACTTAAATGGGACCAAAACTTCATAAAGACTAGATATAAGCAAACAAGGAGAAACTTCCAAGCTTTATACGTCAATGAAGCTAGAAATGATTTGAGAAATCTTGATCTACAAGCTCTCCTTTGATCAAGGCTCTTTCTTTCAAGCTCTTCTTCAAGTCTCACCAACACACATTTTAAACACACACAAGAAAGGTCAAATCTCTTCAAAAGGGGCTAGGGTTTCGAAATGTGACTCAAAGGGCTTTAGAGGCTAAGAAATGTGAGATCCAAGGTTCAAAATGTTATTTAGATAGGGTCTAAACCCTAAATTTTAGTGTTTGTCCCCTGCATGCGTACGCCCCGCTTACTACAAGGTTTCTGAAAATGGCAAAACTACCCCCTAGAGGAAAAATATGCAAAGTATTAAAATACCAAAGGTCAAAAATGAAAATACCTAGAATCGGGTGTTATACATCAAGTCGTGACCACCATATGTTCACGTCGTGACTACAACAGATTGGGCCGGACAACTTAATGCATCTATCCCTTAATCACTTAAGCTATCCATCCACTATTTAGAGGACCTTCTAACTCCAAAATTACTCTAAAAATTAATGTTATATAGACATGTATGTCCAATGCATGTCTAGATTTGTTATTAGGTCAAAATGATGAAAAATGAAACCACAATCACATAAATGTCTTTAAAACTTATCCAAACTTCATATCCAACATACATGACACTCAAGCGACCTTAACGACCCATAAAGTTGCCAACTTTATGGAATCCCACAATTCCAACTTGCTCAAACTTAAAGATAAAGGGACAATAACTTAGATCTAGCAACCTAGAACAATAAAGTTTGGATCTTGACCACTTGAAAAGGTCCAAAGATGCCTTAAAAGAAAACTTAAACTTGCCAACATGCACACAACACTACCAAAGCCTTCTTTTTTTTTTCCTTAAAAATCAACCAAAAACACTAAGAATAAGCTCACAAATGAAGATAAGGTTATTAGGGTTTCCTTCAAGGTTCTAGAGGGAGATGGATGATAGAAATAGAACCCTAAATCTAAGATTAGAGGTGTAAATACGAAGCAAACCGTAAAAGATAATAGGCTTGGGCTGCAGCTACAGTTACATCATGACCATACTCAGGCCACGTCATGACATCCATCCAGAACGTGTTCTCTTTTTTAGCATGTCATGTCGTGACCTCCCTATGGTCACATCGTTACCTCCTTATGGTCACGTCATGGCACATGGTGGTTCCCAAAAACAATGTATTTGACTCATTTATGCCCTACACTGATCCAATTTGGAAGACATCTGCTACATTTTTAAAACAAAATAGCAACATATTATTATTTTTATCATAACATATCAAATTTCTTATAAAATAAATATATGTGTCTAACAAAAATAAAGATAAATATCAAAGTTTATACCACACAAAAAATAAAAGTAGATAAAATGATGTTTCTATGCTTCAAATATTTTTAGATAAAAAATAAAAAGTACAAATATTTAATGATGTATTGTAGTTTAAATATTTTAGATAAAGTTTTAGCCAACAAAAATTATTTATATATTAAAAATATACCTTCTTATGATTAAAATAAATTTTATTTTTTCATTTATATAAATATTATATTTTCTATGGTTTAGTTTTTTTTTTCTTTTTTTTTTATTTATGATAATTAATACAAAATTTAAGTGACTTCTTTTAAACTTCAAATATGATCCATAGGCAAAAATTGACAAAATTTCACAAATGGTCTTATTGGGTTTTAATAGAATTAATACACTATCTAATTAGCGGAAACAATCAAAAGATTTACCTAAGTGTACATGCTCCCTAGATCTAGGTTTAACTAGTTATA